TGCACACTCAGCTTTTTAAGGGTTGTGTGGTATAACAAAAGAAGTGGTATAGATCCAGGTAGTGATAATATTGCAGAGATTTGTTTTTCTGTGTCCCTTACTCTTCCAGGAGCTCCACTTCCTTTGTGGGTTTGCACGCGCATTCCTGCCTAATAGCAATTGCTGCAACATTCAAATCCAGGTGATACATGAATAGGATGCAACTGGCTTACATTAGCAAGAGGATTAATATCCATTCTAGGAGGCTCCCCAGGACTTAATGAGGAACTTAATATTGAGTCCTGTGTAAAACATGCTACTTTTTTATTTCTTTAAAACAGTGCAAATAATAGATTTACAATAATCCTCCAAGAAGTCATTAGAAGATATAACAGCTAATGGCCTTTTTTCCCTTTGTGTAAAGAAGTGGTGTAAAACTCAGTGAGAAGTTTTGAAGAGGAGGAGCTTAATTTTACGCTGATTGTGTTGGGATCAGTGGTGCTGGGAGTTGTGCCAGCAGCTTGTGTTAAGACTATTTCTCAGAGTCCTGGCTATATTTCCTTGTCCTACTGCCTGCTGAAGAATCTTGTTTTTTTGCAGGTAAGTACAGAATAAGGTATCCTGGAAGTCCATTTCCTCCCAGATCAGAGTCTCTGTGTGGTACAAGCTGTATTGCCTCTCCAGAGCTGCTGCTTCTGTATCCAACTGTAGTCATAGTCTATGCTGAACAGGAACCTGGCATTGAGGAATTCTCTCTCAACATGGCACAGTAATCAAGGGGCTAACCATACTGGGATGTAATAATAGGAGTGCTGTATGTCAGTCACCAGAAGTGTTTTTTTTCATTCTAGCCAGCACTGGTGTGAAGCCTCACCTGGAGTACTGGCTCCAGTTTTGAAGCACTGACCTTAAAAATGAAATGGAAAAATTGAATAGAATCCAGAAAAGAAAAGCAAAATTACTAGAGATTTAGAAAGTATCATATACAAAAAAAAAAAGGTTGGAAGAATTACAATTATTTAGTTTGGAGAAGGGAAGATTTTATTTAAAGACTACTAGCTGGACAAGAAGCAGCCTTAGATATTATGAAGAATTATGTAGCAACGAAGGTGATGAAGCACTAGAACAGATTCTCAAAGAAAAGTTGTGGAATCTATCACTGGAAGTTTTATTTTTTTGTTTTTTTTAAGTGAAGTTAGACAAAACATTTGTTTAGAATAGTTTAGACATGGATGATCCTACTTGGGGGGGTGGGGAGTAAATGCGCTTCTGAAGTCCCCTGTTTTTCCAAAATTCTTTATGAGCAGCAGCAATTCCAATTCCTAAAGCAGCAGTTTTTGAGTCTGGTACTCATGTGTCAGAGCTCTGCTACTCAAAAGTCCTTTCAGGTGGGACTTATTTTACTGGTTATTCTGGTGCTATGTGCTATTTTAAACCAATGGAACTCCAGAGAAGTAGGAAGCGAACCTTTGGATTTTAGGTATTTATGTACTATATGCTTTCCCCTCCTGATGTAAGGTATTTTCTGCTCCCGCCCCCTCTACCCAGCAGAGGGCTGGGATTCCCAAAGGGAGGTGCTGCCCTTATTGCTGTAATAAAAGCCCCTCCAGTCCCACTGACAAGGCTGGTAATTGAAAACATATGTAAAAAGAATCCATCTTTGTGAAACATCAGTTTCTTGGCAGGTTGTTTGGGGAATGCTGGTTCCAGCTTTTTCTGAACACAGGAACTGTGGGCTCATGTTCCAGTGCCAACTGTGCAGCTAAGTTCCTTCACAGTAGGTTAGGGCAGAGAGAGAGCTTTGGTCCTCTCATTGGATCTCATTCTTTACCTGATCAAACGTGATGTCCTGGCCATGAGCTCAAAGGGAAGGTTTGTAATCCCTCTGGCAGAGAATGAATCTGCTGATTCCATTAGCAGAGGTCTTAGATTGGATTGGACACCTGTGACCCAGATCACGTCTCTTAAGTGTATTTTGAAGGGATCTTCTTTGATCCCTTCTGAGTTGAATGTAAATTACACTCTACTGCTCTATTGATAGTGCTGGAGGACATTGCATTATCAGTTCCATTCCTATTCATTTTTGAAAGTGAAGCCAGTAGTATTTTAGAGCAGAATATAGATTGCCTTCTCTTTCCAAAACCAGGACTGTTTTGGACAATATTGTTGGTAGCTTTATAACTAGCATGAGGCTTACATAAAACCAACTTTGTGTGAAGTAGCTCTTTTTGGTTTTGCATCTTCTACTCTGCAGGCCCTTGCTTTGTGACTCAGGTATTTTCCTTAGTTCCCCTTTTCTTCTCACTCCTTTCCCAATCTTTCCTCCTTTTAAAAAATGCCTATCTTTAATTCTCTGGATTTTACATTCTTTGATAAGGTCTCTGCTGTTCTTGTCCCTTCTCAAATACCCTTAAATTTCTAGCTGCAAATATTGTCATGACC